TTACAGTTACAGTATAAATCATCATTGATCATTACGTTCTAGGAGCTCCTATCGTCGTGCCGTGCAAATCGAAAGTTGGCTATTAACATAAATATGAAAATACAAAGACAGTATAGCGCGGTGGACTTAGAACCTTATTTTGCAATAACTGATATAGGCCTATCGTTGTGTGTGATTGATTCTTTTAGTAGGCCTATATACTGTACTCAACTGTACTGTATATTGATTTGCGTTGAAAAGGCCACATGATCGGTTGAGGTTTGTTTGCATACATATTAATATTATAATATATAAACAAAAAAGTAAAATATATAATACACACGAAATCATCGTTATATTGGTAGATGAATGTGTAGCGTAATGATCTTTTTAAAAAAATATCCATTCACCATTAGGCCTATTAATATTATTTTTTAAACGTTTGTTTGAATATTAAAACTGAACCTTAATATCAGCAACTGCAACAGCCACATCATTTCATACATACTTTTTATACTAAAATATGAATAATAATAATGATAATAATAATTAGTAATATATATGATTTTTAATAATTATTTTATACTTACCTATACAGAGAGCAGTATACGTTAAATGTATTTTTCTTTGAGTGTGAATCCTCTGTGCTAGATTGACGCTGCTTTTGTATGTGCTGCTATCATTCGGATCACGAGGCGATGATGTCATATCAAAATTGGTTCACAAACCATTGACCAATCAGATATTATCGAAGGCTTGACGTATACACTACAGACGATTATGTATTCTACTGAATATTCCTATAATAATAAATTGCCTTTTATGCAGGGGTGGTGCCAGGGCTTATCCGACGGGGGTACGATAACGGACTATGTTTAGAGTAATTTTGACCTAGTTTCTGAAGTATACGCATACTTCTCTCAGAAGCCTATTTTTCTACTCTACTTTTAGAATGTTGTTATATTATTCACAGTTAAAAATGTGTTGTCCTCTGAAAATGACATAAATAAATAATCATAATAAACAGTAATTTTTAAATTAACTTGTTCATTTTGTAGTAACAATACGAATGATTAACTTGAGCATAGAAATTATTGAATTTGAAAAAATTGTATACCCTGATTTTTATACTGATGAATAATACAATGATCAAGTTAATTTTAAGAATGATTTTTATGATATTTTTTGGTATTTTTAATGTGACAATCAGCCATGAGCCTAGCATGACTTGAGCAAAACCACGTTCCACAGAGTTTTTCTTGTTAGAGCCGGTGTGAGTTATTATTACATTACATTACAAATTTTTCAAATTAAATAAATAGATCATAGAAACCTAAAATTACTGTATTTTTCAAATGAACATTGCGGAAGAAAAGTGAGGAGACCAACCCCACTTAAAAATATGAAATATGTGTGGTGGGGGGACGTGTCCCCCTCTCCCCATGACCTGCGTCCATGGTAGTAATTTTGACCTAGTTTCTGAAGTATACGCATACTTCTCTCAGAAGCCTATTTTTCTACTGTACTTTTAGAATGTTGTTATATTATTCACAGTTAAAAATGTGTTGTCCTCTGAAAATGACAAAAATAAATAATCATAATAAACAGTAATTTTTAAATTAACTTGTTCATTTTGTAGTAACAATACGAATGATTAACTTGAGCATTGAAATTACTGAATTTGAAAAAATTGTATACCCTGATTTTTATACTGATGAATAATGCAATGATCAAGTTAATTTTAAGAATGATTTTTATGATATGTTTTGGTATTTTTAATGTGACAATCAGCCATGAGCCTAGCATGACTTGAGCAAAACCACGTTCCACAGAGTTTTTCTTGTTAGAGCCGGTGTGATTATCGGGAGCTGTTGAGCCCAGACATAAAACGGAGAAGTCAACAGTTACCACCACTATAGACTGTGAGTTGCCTTTAATGGTAAAAAAATATAATAACTAATGTAACAGATATTTGATAAATATACATTATTAAACATTAGACTGAATTAATGTATGGCAAGCTACAGCTGTCTTAAGCCTACAAAAAATATTATATTATTTATGTTTGCTAATATTATTTACGTTTGTTATTATATTATTTACATTTATTATTATGTTGTTTAAATTTATTATTATATTATATATGTTTATTATTATATTATATATGTTTGTTATATTATACACGTTTATTATTATATTATGTACGTTTATTATTATATTATGTATGTTTATTATTATATTATATATGTTTATTATTATATTATTTACATTTAGTATTATATTAAATACGTTATTATTATATTACGTACGTTTAGTATAATACTATTTACGTTTGTTATTTTATTATGTACATTTCGTGTTATATTATTTGTCTTTTATTATATTATGTACGTTATTACTATATCATATATGTTTACCATTATATTATTTACATCTTTTAGTATATTATGTACGTTTATTATTATATTATGCATGTTTATTATTGAATTACAGACGTTTTGTATTACATGATGTACGTTTATTATTATATTATATACGTTTATTATTATATTATGTAGGTTCAGTATATATTATGTGCGTTTATTAGTATATTTATAACGTACGTTTATTATTACATTACATACGTTTATTTTATTATTTGCATATACCTGTAGTAATATACTATTGACGTTATTATTATATTATGTACATTTAGTATGATGTTATTAATGTATGTTGTTATATTATATAGGTTAAGTATTATATTATACACGTTTGTTATTATGTTATGTATGTCTAGTATTGTATTATTTACGTTTGTTATTATATTATGTATGTTCAGTATTATGTTATTTACGTCTATTATTATATTATGTATGTTGTTAATATATGTCGTTCATTTATTATTATATTATAAAAGTTTAGTATATATTTTCAATACTCACTATTATAATTATGTACATTCATTATTATTTTGTTTAATTCACAATTATATTATCTCCTTCCTTATTATATTATACACATTCACTATTATTTTATTGCAGTTCACTTGTATATGGCAGTTGAGTGGTATATTATGGAAGTTGAGTATATTATGGCTGATCATTATGTTGTTATACCAACTGCTTATATTTCCTGTACAGAGGATTGTGGGCTGGCTGTTAGTAGGGCAATTCTTGACCATAGGTCAGACCACAGATAATTGTATCTAGCTAGGCAGTACATATGTCAACCTCTTAATTTTTCAAATATGGCAGTGTACAAGGGCACTTGTTGACCCTACCAAAAATATTAGAGAAACACAAGTGCTATGTTTTTATGCAGTGCGACGAAATAAACAACTTTCATATTTTCCAGGTTTCGAGAATACGAAACAGATTTATTGCTGCGAAGCAGCCAATTCATATTCTTGACATCAAAAAACAAGGGCTTAAGACGACTGAAAAGCGAGTTTCCTTCTTTCGTTCTGCCGGGTAAAATCAATTACTTTAGGCGACGTCTGTAGACTAACCTACACGTACCAACGTCCGCATGTCGCGACGCTCGAGTATTACTATTCAGCGTTTTTACTATACAGTATTTCTAGGTTTCCTATTTCTACGTTTAATCGGCCCATGTCTCAGCCACAATATTTTGAGGCCAATATTATTTACGAACCCAGTTAAACTTATTTACTAGCCTATTTCAGCGTGCTAATTATTACATTTAGGCGACGCTTGTTGTAGACTGGCATACACGGTACCAACTCTCGTTTTTACTATGTTTCTACGTCAGCGTTCTAATATAGACAATGGGTCGTGTCTCATATTATTTGTTATATTTTTATTATTCATTATTTTCACTTGACTTGCATAAATAATTTTTTTCGAAATTTATATGCAGTTGTACTTCGCAGCATTTCACTTGCAATTTGCAATTTCTAGTACTACATTTACTACTACAGTATACACACAAATATATATTTCCAATTTTCAACCCCAGAGAACACACATTCATCGGCAGATGACACTGAGAGGTGCGCTCTAACCCCGAAAATTTGTTTTCTTCCATATTTAATTGATGGGTGTCTATAAAATGAAGACCGAAGAAAGAAGACCCAAAAACGAAGACCCCTATTTTATTCTTTTTTTTATTTTAATGATAATACACCAGGCACACAATATCAAAATTGCGACATTTTTTTGGGATGTCTGTTTGTGAAATTTTCAAGGGTCTTCGTTTTATGGACATCCTATATGGGTGTGTACAAAACGAAGACCCAAGACCAGAAAAACGAAGACCCACACTATTTCTCTCTTATTTAATGATACTACACCAGACTGTCATAAAATCATAATTAGGAGATTTAATTTGTACTTTCGTTTGTGATGTTATCAAGTGTCTTCGCTTTATAGACACCTTGGGTGTCTACAAAACGAAGACTGAAGACCTGCAAAACGAAGACCTCCACCAGAATAACATTAAATTGACTCGAATTCAGGCAATTAATGTGCTAGAAAGTTAAATATTATATATACATAGCATGAAATGATTAAAAAAAACCCCCAAAAACCAGAAAAAAAACCAAAAAAAAAAACATTACTTTTATCACGATTAAGAGAAAAAAAAATGTGGGTCTTGGTTTTTCGGGTTGTCGATGTTCGTTTTATAGATACCTATTCTATATAGGATGTCTATAAAACGAAGACCATTAATAATCTCATCCATCCAATGTCGGTGTCACTACTCTAAATGACCTATGCTGCACAAAATTGCGTCACTGTACAACATTCCTACTGTTTATTTTAACATGAAACAAGTTTATAAATGAAATATTCAAGGTTCTTGTAGGCCCCCAAACTACGCGTCCACTATGCCAAGGCTTAATCACGTTTAGAAAATAATAGCACCAAGATGAGCTCTGCCAGCCGTGGACAACATTGGCTGCCGCTTTTGAACTGGAATAAAGATTAAATTTACTCAGATTCAGGCAATAATATGCTAGAAAGATGAATATACATAGCAGGAAGTGATTTAAAAACATTAAAGTCAGTAATTGACTTTCGTAGCACGAACTCTTGTAGACCAAACCCGGTACTATTACGATTTTTAATCGTGCATGAAATCCACTCACTATGTCTTTTTCTTTTTTTCTCTATATAGAGGCCTGAAGAATGAGATAAAATTAAGTACTTTCTAAGTAATTGAGTTTATACTGATTTTGTTATTGTGCACATCTTATACGGTTGTGCATCTGTTATTTAAGAGAAGCAATAAAGTTACTTACTTACCTACTGATATTTTCCAGAGGAGAAAAACCTTGAATTTTGAAGAACTTAAATGTCATTTAAATAAAAAGCTAATTTCCGGCCTAGGAATCAACTTTTTTCATTTTCAAGCAACCTCTTTCAAATCCTGTATCCGCCCCTGATTATTATGTGGTGGTAATACCTCATCACAGACAGTGCCTGGGTCACTAACAGTTGGATGGATGATTTTGTTTTCTCATTTATCATGTAAATCCGAGATTTTAAGGTATATCAAGATGGATGTTTTCCTCATCATTACCTAACTTTTATTTGCTTGTGAAAGTATTTGAAGTTCGTGTGGACAAATACTAAATAAAGTACAATATTTTGGAAGTTACTTTGGTGGTTCCAATTTTTTTTTTTACTACTGTTTTATACATTAATTTGTTTGACTGAAGAGAAATGTTATATTTACATACCAGACTGAGGAAGGGC